GCACTGTCTCCGATCTAATTTTGTATATATATATATATTTACAATAAAAAATACATTAATCATTAATATTGATTTACTTTACAGATACATTCAATAAAAAACCAGTAAAGAGAATATGACAAAGGAGCATCCAATAAAAATGGAGGAATTGAACAAAAGGTGAAGAAGATCATGAACGAGAATAATCTCTTGAAGAAATAATCTTTTTGATCTCATTTCAAAAACTTAAGGAAAAGGCAAAACAATTTTTTAACAAACTTATAAACACTATAATTGACAACAAATAAAGAAGTATATGCTAACGGAAAAATACGCGGGAACACGATTCGAAAAAGGAAATAAGGATCGCGATTGGAGCAAAATAATCTTTACGGACGAAACTTCTTTTTGTACTTTCTATCGTTCAACGATCCTAGTCTATACCAGTAAACTTATCCAGCGAATCGTTAAATAAATACATGGTAAAGATGCACAGGGCTGTTTCTCAGAGTAAGGATTTGGTTACTTTTATTTATTTATAGACAACTTGAGTGCAGAAAAAATGCTAAAAATAATATACCATTTATCTGTAAAATCTATAATAGGCTGTCAATTATTTTAAACTTAATTAAAAAACACTAAACGATATTAGAAGGAATCAGTCTTTCAACGACGTATTGTTATTAATTTTGCTATTATTAATGCCACATGTTTATTTGTATCCTTTTATATTTTGCCAAACGACAATGACAGTGCTTACAAAGTTTTGGTCGTTTTTTTAAATTTATATTTATTGCATCAAATTATGTTTCTTAGCTTAGATTTCGGTTTTGAGATGATAATACACGCGTGGATGTTATCATAATTTTTGCTGTCATAAGAACCTAATAAAAACTATGAACATGCAGACAGTAACTATTAAAATCATGTAACACGCACTACTACCATATATATCAAACTTATATTTTAAAATTCTTTAAGATTTTCAAAATAGAACGTTTTTAATAATAAATAATTAATATCTTATGTCTCAAAGCTCATTGTTTATTATTGATAATAACAATTCAATGGCTTACCATAAGCTGGCCATCCCAAGGCTGGTGCTGCATAGCTAAGAACTGGGCCGACAATCGCCGTTTGTCCAGGGATGCTACCCGAAACGACTGACGGTCCAGCAACAGCACCCGTAACGATAGCACCACGGTCAACCGCTCCAGATATGCGCGCGGGTCCAACTATTGGACCAGCGAGTGCGGACGGTCCATTAATAGGACCTGCAAGAGCTGCAGGTCCTAAAATTGGTCCAGCTAACGTGGCACCATGACCCAAGTAACTTGACGGAGCCGCAGTTGTTACCGATAGAGCTGCTACGAACAGAATAGCGACCAGGACGCACATGACGAAAAGGGGAATAATTAATTGGTAGGTACAATGTTAAGAAAATTTGTCTCGATGGCTGAGGTGGATGTGGCTGCCATCAACCGCTGTCCACTACGCTTTTATAGGGGCATGTCTTTCGAGAATCCCGAAGGGGCCCCTTCTATGTTATCTCCCCGAAGGGGCCCCAATGCTCCCGCCAACCCTACGGGCGGGGCATAGGACACGCCAAACATTCTCCGCAAGCTAAAGTAACGTTTTGTCGATTTATCAGCATTAAATCATCGTGTTAGTGACACAGAGTCATGACACCTTGCGTCTCACCTCGCCGCAAGTCAAGCTATGCAGCTCGAGGGTCGCGCTGCTCCATTTCAACACATCCGTCTATGGTCTCGTGCGTTATGTTTGCCTCTGTCCGCGCAATCGGTAGTAGCAACAACAACAGATCGAATCGATATCTTGGTACAATATTTACTTTTAGTATGCTAAAGAGGAACAATCATGAGTGTGATTGACATATCTTGTGCTAAAGCGAATAACAGAATTTATTTGGACAACGATCCGCATTGATTTCTAAAGACTATTATTTCATATCTTCTATCTGCTTTCTTTTAAAAGCGCATACTATGGATGATAAAAAAAGGATTAAACATAAAAAAAATCATCAATGACAAAAAATATAGATATTGATTATCGTGCAACATCATCGTACCTCGCTGTTAAGAAGTGGAAAAAGATAAGATGGCTACTCATCATGAGTTAGTCATCTGTGACCTTGAGACTAAATACAATTCGCGTATTTTATGCGTGTCCTCTTCCTGCTTTCTCTCAGTAGGTAGATACGTGTTTGTCGCCATTAGAACGATTACCTTGCGTGTTGTATTGTGCATTCGTCTAGGCGAGGCACAATTGTATTGCCCACGCGTCATCCGGGCTTTACAGATTGTCGCCAAGAATGAGGGCTCTTCTATTGTTGTCGAATACAAGTGTGCGTGCCCGGGCGCGACGATATTATCAGGTTCGGCAGATTGCAGACGTGGTGCCAGGAAACGTTTGCAGAGCCATTATCGAACGTCATATGCAGCCTCGAACGCAAAGATGACTGTTGATCGAGCAATACGGAAATTCTTTCACCACTTTTTCCATCGTCATTCCGTCTACAGAATGGTAAATTAAAAAAAATCGCATCCGATGTGTTTGAAAAAACAGTAAATGCGAAGTTTATTAACTTGGACATTCCGTCAATTTCCTCCATCGTGATTTCTTTCTCTCAAGGAAACGGAAAATGCATTGTGTGCACTATGTTACGACATAGATCAGCGATTCTCAAAGTTTCTCGGTTAAGAATCATTTTTGCGAGTAGAATTTGGCGAGATTCCAGAAACGTATTTTTCTGGAACCGCTTTAATCAAACGAGACATCTTCAATAAATTGTAAAAAATTAGTATATTTTAGTAAATTTTAATTATATTAATTTATATAATTTTAGATAATTTTTATAATTCATTGTATTATTATTATTATTCCTGTAGAGATTCTGTAAATTAATTCCATAAAGCATACGTTATTGTGCTTACAGCTTGTATTATTAGTTCTCTATTTTAGTTATCAAAGCATATCCAAAATGCGAGCGGCTGAATAAATTTTTGGCTACACATGTTTGTTGCTGATATCCTCTGTAACTGGTTTATAATTACAAAACATGAAACGTAACATAAAGGAAAGGGATGATCAAAGTTGCTTAGCTTGCATATCACGTGCATTAATCGATTATTGTTCAGCTAATGGTTCGGATGAGTGGTTCGGCTGCAATGTTACACATTTTCATCATGGTGATCACTGGCATCACTATATTTAGCTGTGTACATCATCAATCACCGAGCACTGTCAAGTGAGTTCTACTTCAAGCATTGTAGAATGTGATGGCCTATCGTTTATTGTGAAAGTTTTCAATGTGCGCGTGACTCAGATTGATCGTTCGTGAGATCAAATTACTCGTCTGCCAAATGCAATAGATTGCTCTGTTTTGTCCTTGGAGCGTTACTTTTTCTTCTTTTTTTCATCTATGAATATTTTATACTTCTAGATTTTTTTATTTACAATTAAGTATCTTGATTAAATAAGAAAATTCCTATATTCGATCAAAGCAGATTTAGTGCTTAAAGATTTCTGTGTGAATTTATATATATATTTGATTCTGCAATCTGCGCGTCGAAAGCTTTTCCAGTCTTGAAACGCGACCTTGAACAGAACCAGAATAATAATATTACTTACATTGATCAACAATTTAATTTTTGATGCAAATAAGCATCTTTAAAAAAATATAAATAATGAGAATTTCAAAACTGCAAATAATTTTGTTACGAAAAAGTTTCTAATATCTTGATCTTACTTTGCAGTGGTATACACACACACACACACACACACACACACACACACAACACACACACACACACACACACATATA